GTATGTAGCATTACTTATTTGATAATTTAATTTAGTACTTAAAATTAAATATAGTGAATTTTGGTAATGTTATCAATTAAGTTCATTCGATAACTAAAATTGTAGCACTTCGTACTTCTTGGTATAATGAAATTATATTTGACTCCTTCATTGTCATAATTGAGAACCTTTTTAATCGATATTTAAGTCTTGGTTGAGGCCTTATCATAATGGTTGGGCAAGATTTGATCAAAAACTTCAAATTCAAATAGTTGTTCTTGAGTAGCTTTCACTATTTTATCATTTTCTCTCTCCACACTTTGAATCTTGATGTGATGTTAGAAGCATTGGAAAGCTTATTTTTGAGACATCAATTTGGACACAAGAATGACCTGTTTGAAGTTTGCAAATCTGTTATGTGTTCACAGTTCACTTGAGCGCAAGTTTCACTGCTCAAGCGATCCATAGACCCTTCCAAATCTATTTTTCAAAATTGTCAGAGATACTACTAGCCTTGATTCACCCCTTGAGCACACTTTTGACCACTCAAGTAGTCTATTCGAGAAAGTATAGATATTAAAATATTTCATTCACCGTTCGAGCACAGATTTGACGCTCGAACGATCTGTTCAAAATCTGGTCTTTATAAACTCATTTTTGGGTCAAATCTATATCATTTTTCACTCCCTCCTCTCTCTCTTTCCTCCACTTTCGAAAATCCTAAGCTTTCAAGCTTGGATTTCATCTACATCCACTAAAAATCTCACACTAGTTCCTTATACCAAAACGTAGAGCATGGCGAGAGCTTCCTTTAATTTGAGCGGATCGTGATTTCGTCAAAATTAGAATTCCAGGTTTTCTTCTCTTCTTGCTTGAGATAGGTATTTCTTTACTTTTTTTTCAATAATTTCGTATAGAAAGATATGTGATACTTTTCTATTACATAAAACATCACATTGGAAAGAGATTTTTGAAAAAAGCAAGAGAAAGTTAGGGTCTTAAAAAAAAGAAGTTAAACCTACGATTTATTGAGGATTGTGAAAATTTTCAACTATTAGAATATATCTATGTGATTTCTAGTAAAAAGCCCTAATTTCTAATAACGAAATGAGTTGTGGAATGAAATAAATTAAGACTTAATGATTGTAGAGTTATGCTAACTTTGAGAGTAGAAATTTTGTTTATAAATGAAATGAAAATTATTATTATAGAATTAGTTTATCTCATGGGTGTTAGTAAATTTGAAATTGGTAAAGTACATCATGAGACGTGTATGATGTTTTGTTATTGGTCTAATCCTAATAAAGGTTGTTGATAGTGGGGTACCAAATCATATTGTTTCATTGAAGAGGATTCATGTCATTACATATGTAGAGGTTTTGTCATTGGCCATTAGTGGATGATGGTATTGATTATTGTAGAATGAGTGTACGTGTAATGTGATGTTGAATTAATATATCAAATTGAAATGATGAATGATATAAAGAATTGATGGATTAAAATATTGGAAAGAGGGTATGTTTCCTTCTAAGCGTGTCGCTCGATAGAGGTTATGTCTTCCTTCCGGAATAGTGCCAAGTAAAGCATGTGAACTGTTGGGCTTTTATAGAGGTTTTGCATTCCTTCCGACTAGCCACCGGTAAAGTGTGACGCTTTAAAATAGGTTCTAGCTTTCCTTCTGGTTAGTGCTTGCTAAACTGTGTTGGATTGGCTTGGCAAAATTGGTTGTTAATTATGTTATATTTGTTGTTTGGCTACAGAATTGTGCAGATATAAGTGACATGGAAGATTTGTGTGGGAAGTTTAAAGTGTGTTTGATTGGGATAATTTTATAATGAATTGGATGACATTGTTTGTCTATATGATAGGTGTTAATATGTACAATTGGTGTTATATGGATTATAGTAAGTTGGCAGATGATAGTATAGTTATCATTTTTTTCAATTAAAGGTTAGAATAAGTATAAGATTTATTGGCTTAAAACTTTTTGTAAAACAAAGGAGATTTGAAAAACTTCTTTTGAATCAAAAGTTATAAGTTGAAAAGATAATAAAGAAGTTTTCCTTGAAAGGCCGAAAAGGGACTTTAAGAAGGAAGTGCATATTTATATGTGTTTACTTTGGATATAAAAGAGCACATTACTTATTTAATTATCACCTAGTAACATTCATGATCATATATACCTATTGGCCTTATTATTAAGAATCATTGTAGATCCCTACTGGACTTTTGTTCATCCCAATCTTTATACTATTTTCAGGTGTGGAATTGGATGTATCTCCAAGACACAAGAGAGTTGTTTTATTCTGGATTGTAAATTATTTATTTTAAGTGAGATGTCAATGTATTGTAAAGAGATTTATATTATCTTCATTGTATTTATTTTATTCTATAATTCTCAATGTAAACCTAAGGGCATATGTTGTACTTAGTTGTGTTGAACATTTTATGAATGCATTTAAGAGAGAGAGGACTTTAATTATTTTATTTATCTTATTTTGCTTCTGTAACTACATCTTGAAAATGGATATTGATGATACAGTTACTACACAACGGGTCCCAGATGGAATGGGTCGGACCAATCCACGCTTCTTCAACTGGTAACTGGGTGTTCAGGCCCACCAGAGAACCTGCACACAAGTTCAATAGGGGAACGAGGAGTCCCCCAACGAACCCTCCGACGAGCAAGTTAGAGAGAGAGAAGTGTAATGTAGAGATATGAACTGGAGATAGAAAAACTTAACCTTCTTCTTGTCTTCAACGTTTGCTTATATCCTTTGGTCATCATTTCGCTATCCCTTCCGACCTGCCATATTGGCTGAAAGTCTATGCTGTAACTTACCTTGTTGAGGGTAAGGGGGTGCTGTTCCGACGGAGAGGTGTTGTTGTAATAAATGCTGTGATGGGCTGCATTAATGGTGACGTGCAGTGGCAATAACTTTGCAGATCTTTATCTGCTGATGTGACTTGTCCTTTACCTACCGTATGTCTGAATGTCATTGGCTTTTTATGCCACGTTGGATACCAGCTGTTTTGGACTTCACCAGCTGGGTTATGTGTTGGGCTCCAAGTGATGGGCTTGGGTTGTTCATAGTGGGCTATGGCCTTTATGGGCTTACCCATGTCAGTAGTCCCCCATTCCCGAGTGCAGCTTTAGTCCAACGAAGGGAATACTAATGAAGAGAATGAGGGTGTTAGAGATTGGCAAGATGAAGGTCGACCGGCAAGGGTAACCGAGTGGGTGGACCGACCGCGAGGTTGACCGACCATAAGGTGGACCGACCGCGAATCGTGGTCGAGTGGAAGGGCTGACCACAATGAGGGCCGACCACGAAGGTTGGCCGAGTGGGAGGGCCGACCACGAGGAGGGCTGACCGCGAAGGTTGACTGAGTGAGAGGGCCGACCACGATGAGGACCGACCGCGAAGGTTGGTCGACTGGAAGGGCTGACCATGAGGAGGGCCGACCGCGAAGGGTAAGGTGGAGGGGCGCGGGGCTCAAGAGGCGGCATGTCACATGGTGATTTGAAGTGGAAAAGACAGGGTAAGGGGAGGAGACAGTGGATCGTTGTCGTACACGTGACAACATCTCGTGAGGGGAGAGATTAGGCATTGGATCAGAAATGAAACGATATGTCATTATGGGTGTTGAAAAGGCAGTTTTGGTGGATGTTTTGAAAAATTTTCAAACTAGCGCAAATTAATTGTGACCCTTGGAATACGGGCAAGCCTTGAGCTTTTGGCATTATTCGATTTACCTACTTCTTTGCGAAAAATCAAAACATCCCAAGTGTTAACTCTTTTGTTGCTGACGATACACCGCTGCAACATTTTTTCAATTTCCTTGCACCTGCATCCGAAGTGATTCGCAAACATACCATAGAAATAGCCCAAAAAGAAACGGTGAATATCAGGATGGATCCGCTTGGTGATGACGACGCAGTGGAGTTAGTAGCGCAGTATAGGACGGAGAGGCAAATGGAGAGGGTGGGGAAACCGGTGGTACAATCTCATACTTTCACCATTATAGCAGCTCCGAAGCCAATCAGCCAAGCAGAACCAGATCACTGGCACACGAAGGCTAACAAATCAACGGTTACCGCGGCGGAGTTGGAAGCTATTCGCGAAAAATACCAGGTGCCTGCTGAAATAGAATTATCGTTGCCGACGTCAACGGAAAGGCCATCCGAGGCAAGGCCGGGGGAGTTTGCCCTTTACGAGGAAGCATTGAAGGGAGGACTGAGGCTGCCACTGCCGTAAGTGGTGGTAGATGTCCTGAACCGTTTGGAAGCGGCACCGGGCCAACTAATGCCCAACGCGTGGAAAATTGTACTGGCCTGTGCAAGCGCGTGGCCGAAGGCAAACGAAGAGGCGGCCATGACAGTAGACGAATTCTTCGCATGTTATAAGGCCTCAGGACAACAAGAGACTTGGGTGACATTGCAAGCGACGGCAGGGAGAGGTCTGGTGGCTGGGCTACCATCATCAATTAAAGGTTGGAGGCCGCGGTGGTTCTATGTGTCTGCGAATGGAGGGGCTGGGGTGCGCACGGTGTGGAGGGTGCCTACCAAATCTGTAGAGCCAAAACTGGGAGTAGCGCCAGAGGAGAGAATAAAGAGGGTGAAGGTATGGCGGGAGAAGGAGGGGATCAAGTGGGACGAACTCGTTCAACCCTCAGCCTTGTTTAGAGCGGGGTTGGGTCCTCAGCCGAGCGGTAGAGATCTGGGGCGAGCTGAATTGGAGGCGAGGAGGAAAGCGCAAGAGGCTGAGGATATGGCCATCCTTGCCAAGGCCAGTAAGTTCAAAGAGTCCCAGGAAGACCGACCGCCAACGCCGATTGTGAGGGAGAGGATCCGACCTCGCCCCAAACCCTTGGGGGAAAATGACTTAGGTGGATTTGTGCCCCGACTGCTCCCAGTAGATCCGTTGAAGGAGAGGGCTTTGAAGGAGATGGAGGCGGAGGGTGTGGTAAAGAAGAAGAGGAGAGTGAGGAGGAGTGAAGAAGAGCCTGCCGTGAAAAGAATGAGGGAAGTGATGGCAGAAGAGACCAGCATGGCCAAGGAGGCAGAGAAGGGGGAAATGGAGAAGACCCCAAGAGGGGTGGTCGTCCCAGAAGTGGTGGAGATCGCCTCGGAGAGAGTGGAGGTCGTCTCAATAATAGTGGAGATCGTCTTAGAGGTGGCGAGGGTCACCCCCGAAGTGCAAGTAGAAGGTAGGGCAACTAGCCCTGAGCCAAGGGGAGGAGAACAGCCCCAGGGGGGTCCACAGCCCCAGGGGGGTCCTGCGCCCCAAGGAGGGGGTGTCAGGCTAATGACCAGGATCTACCACGCTCGCGCAGTGGCTGGGCGGCTGGAGGGAGAAGAAGGCCCAGCCAGGGCAGGTGCAGATCACCTTGTGGGGATCGTGGATGAGGCAACCGTGCGCTCAGTAGCCAGATTCAATGAGGCTGAGTTGCTGAGGGGGTTATGCTTTGCTCAAATGGAGGTAACCACCTTTGCAGGAGCTCTACTGAGAAAGGCGGCAGCTGTAAAGATGAGGGCAGATGAGGCCAAGGCTCAACTTGCAAGTTTGAAGACGGAGCGTGTAGGCTGGGAGAGTGCCCATGTTGAGCTGCAAGCGGTCAAGTTGGAGTTGGAGAACGAACGCCGCCAGGTGGTGTCGCTCGAGTTCCAACTGGCAGGTGAGCAGAAGAAGCTGGGGGATGCTCAAAAGGACTGCGCGGTCGCCATCGAACGATTTGAAGAGGCTATGACCAGCAAAGAAGATCTGCGTGCCCAGCAGATCAAGGAAAAGGAAGACGCAGACCAGGAGATTGCTGGGCTGCAGAAGGAGCTGGAAGATGAGCGTGTTAAGGCAATGGAGGGGAGGAAGGCCCTGCAGAAGGAGTTGCAGGAAGAGAGAGCCAAGGCGGCTGCTGAAAGGGCGGCCCTGCAGAAGGAGTTGGAGGAGGAGAAGGCTAGGGCAGCCTCTGAAAGGGCGGCATACCCCGATCTGTGTGTTGCGGCAGTGGATCAGTTCAAGGGGTCTACTAAATTTCAGATGGCAGTTGATGCCGTGGTCGCCAGCAGCTTGGCGAGGGAGGAGTCTGGAGGGGCGGGCTCGTCGAGGACGACCGCTGGGGGCAGGACTGAGGCAGAAATTATTGAGAGCTTCTAGTAGTCCGACTTCTATAAACACGAAATGGCTGAGTTCTGGGACAGTGGTTGGAAGATGTTCAAGCGTAAAGCTGAGGAGCTGTTCCCAGACTTAGACCTGAGTAGTGTAAAAATTGACGACGACAATATGGCCCAGACCCCCCTAGATGAGGGTATTGAAAAAGAAGACCTCGTGTCCAGTGAGGAGGACTAATTGAAGAAGAAGAAGAAGAAGACCTTGTACTTAGAGTTGTTTTTGTGTGTTTGTTTTTGTTTTTGAATTACTATAATGAACTTATGTACAAATTTATGAATAAATAAAATTTCAGTTGTGTTTTCATTCGATTGTCTGTGCTTGTGCATCTGAAATGAATGAGAATTGAGGTAAAGTTATAATAAAAACTAAATTTAAGAACTCCTCAATGTAGAGTGAAAGTGAATTTGTAATAAAAACTCAATGCATAGTAAAGTTAAAGACTCCTCAATGCAGAGTGAAATTGAACTTGTAATAAAAACTCAGGGCAGAGTGAAGTTAAAGGCTCCTCAATGCAGAGTGAAATTGAACTTGTAATAAAAACTCTGTGCAAAGTGAAGTTAAGAACTCCTTAATGCAGAGTGGAATTTAAAATGTGATAAAATTATGAGTTTGTGTTTGCCACACTGCTGAAGTGGATGAGAATGGTTTATTGGAGTTAGGCATGACTAGTAAGGAAAGAGGTTGACTTGTAAAAGTTGATGGAGAAGGAAATAATCTGACTAGTAAAGGAAACATGTAAGAACGTCGTTGGAATTTGACTAAGTGAAAAGTGGTGTAAAAACTTGGACCTGGAATTGTGACTAAGTGTGTCTACTAATGCCACAAGTATGCGTGCTCAGTTGGGGCTAAGCTGTGATTTACTGATGTTGCAAGTAACTCAGTTTGGACCTAGAATTGTGGCGCTTAGTTTGGCTGAGACTTGTTATGCTTGGTCTGGCTGAGGCTTGGTCTGGCCGAGTGCTTCATACTCAGTCTGACTGAGGCTTTTAAAGCTCAGGCTGGCTGAGGCTTTTGGTACTCAGTCTGGCTGAGGCTTTTGGTGCTCGGTCTTTCTGAGGCTTTTGGTGCTCGGTCTGGCTGAGGCTTTTGGTGCTCAGTCTGGCTGAGGCTTTGTCTGGCCGAGTGCTTCATGCTCAGTCTGACTGAGGCTTTTAAAGCTCAGGCTGGCTGAGATTTTTGGTGCTCAGTCTGGCTGAGGCTTTTGGTGCTCAGTCTGACTGAGGTTTCTGGTGCTCAGTCTGGCTGAGGCTTTTGGTGCTCGGTCTTTCTGAGGCTTTTGGTGCTCAGTCTGGCTGAGGCTTTTGGTGCTTAGTCTAGCTGAGGCTTTTTGTGCTCAGTCTGGCTGAGGCTTCTGGTGTTCAGTCTGACTGAGGCTTTTTAATAAGTGCAGCAACGAAAATGTTATTGAGACAACACACAGATAGCTGAGATATAAAATTGTTGTCATGGAAAGTGCAATCTAGTTTGTCAAAATTTACATTATGCCAGGGGAGAACAAGTATGTTCATGCGTATAAATTCGTCAAAAAGAAAATACAATAACTGAGCAATAAAAAGGTAGGAGTTTATTAAAAGTAATGCTTCAAATGTTCAGCGTTCCATGGGTGGGGGACGTCTCGACCTTTCATGTCCTGAAGTTGGTAAGTGCCCGGACGTGGTCGGGCTTGGGGATGACCTGGGGAGGAGAAACAGGGTTGAATCTGCAAGGTCTGCACAGAACTTCCTGTACTTGGTGTTGCCGAATTATTTGCCGTTGTCGGAGACGATGGCTTGAGGGATGCTAAACCTGCATACGATCGACTGCCAGATGAATTTGGTTGTGTTCTGTTCAGTAATGGTGGCGAGGGGTTCTGCTTCTACCCACTTGGTGAAGTAATCAATGGCGACAATCGCGAACTTGGTCTGGCCTCGGCCGGTGGGAAGTGGACCAACTAAATCAATCCCACATTTGGCGAACGGATAAGGACTGCAAAGTGTGATCAACTCGGTGGGAGGAGCATGGGAGATGTTGGCGAAGCGTTGACATTTATCACATTTGAGCACGAAGTCGGTCGCATCAGGGCCAAGGACAATTTTTTTAACAGTGGGTAATTCTGCTCGGCGCCCCTGAGGGCCCGACTGATGTAGTAGACCGGCCGTTGAACAGAGTCGTCTTCCCTGATAAAAGCTGCATTGACTGCGGTGCTTGAAACGGCTAAGTAGAGAAAGAGGGGTTCGCCAGTGATTGCCTGAGAAAGGAGGGGAGGTTGGCTATGCACTGCTTCAACTGCTGAAAGGCCTCTTCGGACGCGGTCATCCATTCAAAAGTTTTCCGAAGAACTTTGAAGAAGGGGAGGCACTTATCCATTGCGCGGGAAATGAAACGGTTAAGGGCGGCAACTCGGCCAGTGAGTCTTTGAACTTCCTTAACCGTTCTAGGTGACTGCATTTCAATCAAGGCTTTGATCTTTTCAGGGTTAGCTTCAATGCCCCGCTGACTGACCATGAAGCCTAAGAACTTCCCAGATCCTACGCCGAAGGCGCACTTCTTCGGATTGAGCTTCATCTGGTACTTCTGTAGGGTGGCGAAGGTTTCTCGCAGGTCAGTTAGATGGTTAGCGGAGAGTTTGCTCTTGACTAGGATGTCATTGACATATACTTCAATGTTCCGACCAATCTGATGATGGAAAACGGCGTTGACCAACTGTTGGTAGGTGGCCCCAGCATTTTTCAGTCCAAATGGCATCACTTGGTAATGGTAGGTGCCTCGGTCGGTAATGAAGGAGGTGTGTTCCCGATCAGATAGATGCATCAGAATTTGGTTATACCCAGAAAAGGCATCCATGAAGCTGAGCATTTGGTGACCGGCCGTGGCGTCGACTAGCAGATCTATGCAGGGAAGAGGATAGCTGTCTTTGGGGCAAGCTCGGTTGAGGTCTGAGTAGTCGACACAAAGTCGCCATTTACCATTGTTCTTGCGAACCAGGACCACGTTTGACAACCATCTAGGGTAGTCCACGTTCTTAATGAATTGGGCCTCAAGGAGCTTGTCAACCTCTGCGGCAATAAGAGTATTGCGTTCAGGATGAAAGATGCGCTGCTTCTGGCGGTAAGGTCAGAAATGGGGTTCAATGCTGAGGCAGTGGGTTATGAAGGAGGGGTCAATAACTAGCATGTCTGAATGGGTCCAAGCAAAGACATCATTGTACTCGGTCGGGAGGGCAGTAAGGTCGGCTTTTGCTTGAGGGGATAGTTGGCTGCCGATTTTGGCAGTTTTCGTTGGGTTGGTGGGGTTGATGGGAACCTCCACGAGCTCCTCCACAGGTTCTCCTCTAACCAGCTCGTCTTCATCTCGGGCGTCAAGTTCTTCAATGATCATGGCCTCCTTCAGCTTGACTTCTTTTAGTGAGGCAACATAGCATTCCCTGGCCACGGTCTACTCTCCCCTTACAGTCCCGACCCCCAGATCGGTAGGAAACTTAACGGCAAGGTGATAAGTTGATGTGATAGCTTGGAAAGCATTTAGGGCAGTGCGGCTAAGGATGATGTTGTAGGCGGATGGGCAGTCGACAACAAGGAAGGTGAGCAACTTTGTAGTCTGTCGTGGGTACTCGCCGATTGTAATGGGAAGATCAATGGAGCCGATGGAGGTGACCCGATCGCCAGTGAAACCGACCAAAGGGGTTTAGAGAGGAGACAGACTTTCTTCTCCAATTTTGAGCTGGCGAAAGCAATTGAGAAAGATGATGTCTGAAGAACTGCCGTTGTCCATGAGAACTCGTCTAACCTTGTAGTTGGAGAGGAGGGCAGAAATGACGAAAGGGTCATCATGAGGGTAGCGGATGCCTGTACAGTCAGCGTCCGTGAAGGTGATAGGCTCGGTCCACTGCTTGGGCTGTTTGGAGGGTCGATCGACCGTGGCAACTGCTTTGTCTGAGCCCTGCCTTATCTTCCTGAGTTCTGCCCTCTGAGCCGAGCGGGATGGTCCCCCGCAAGCAAGGCCGCCTAAAATGACTCTGATCTCTTCAACAGGTGGAGGGGGGTTGCCTGGCGGCCGAGGTTGGTGTGGAGGGCGATCATGGCCTTGGTTAGGTTGGGCTGGCTGCCGGGGGGGTGCGCCGGCGGTTGTTTCTGAGGGGCTCAGTTCTTTGCCTTTACTGAGGGCAGGTGTCCATGAACTGGCTAAGACGTCCCTGGCGTATGAGGGTCTCGACCTGATCTTTGAGGTTAACGCACTCATCGGTGTTATGGCCATGGTCTTGGTAGAAACGGTAATATTTGGACTAGTCTTTCCGATTGGAAGGGGTTCGTGACGGTTGGGGCCATTTAAGGGGGCAATCCCGCTGGATCTGATTGTGGACTTGTTCCATGGGAGAGTTAAGGGGTGTGTACAGCTCGAACCGACTGGGCGGTCGAGCTTGTGCCGACCGGTCAGCTCTGGGGGGCCAGTTGGTATAGTGTGGTGTTTGGCTATTATATTGGGTGTTTCTGAGTTCTGAGTCTTTTCTCTTTTCTCTGGGGGCTGGGTTTTTGGTTATGGGTCTTGCCGAGCGGCTAGGAAACCCTCAACGTTCATGTATTTTTGGTCTTTGAAAAGTAGGGCTGCCATGGAGGTCGGAGGGTTTTTAGAGAGGGAGAACAGGAAGTCAGACGACCGCAGACCGGCCATGAAAGCAGTGAGGATGACCTTGTCATCATTTTTCGCAACTTGTAGGGCCTCGGTGTTGAAGCGGGTAACAAAACTGCGTAGCGACTCCCCCTCGGTCTGTCGAATGTTGAGGAGTTGGGTTGCCAGGTGTCGCTGGCGCTGGGCTCAAATAAAATGGCTGAGGAAGGAGTCACTGAGATGCTGGAAAGTGGAGACGGAGTCTGCTGGTAACTGGCTAAACCACAGCCAAGCTGACCCCTTCAGCGTCACGAGGAAAGCTCGACACATGATCTCGTCAGGGAGTGCATGGAGGATCATGAGAGTTCAGTAGGTCTCCAGATGGTCGACTGGGTCCGTCG